TTAATGGAGGAGCACTTACCGCAAGCGAAATTTTTACCGAATGGTATCTAATTATCTATATAACTACATTAATTGATACACATTTTCGTTGTTCTGCGAGATGAGCAAAATAAATAAAAGCTTGTAAAATTAGGTAATTGTAGCGCCAGTGCAGGTAAACCTAAAACTTTCTTTGATAGTTAATAATAGTTGCACAATTTTTAAGGCTGGTATCGCCAATGCGCAGGTATGTTGAATGCATCTATCGGAGGAGTTTCCTTATAAATGTTAATAATAATGCCGCTAAAGCGCATTTTAGGGTAGGTATCTTCAATGTGCACTTAAGCATAAAGGCAGCAAAGCAAAATATACTGTAAATGTTTATTTTTAATAACAATCAGGGGTTATATTCCATGTAAACAATATTGTTTAAATTAAATAATTAAAACACTAGTATCCTCTCTTTTTTGTGGAATTTAGCTACAGTTTTAGGAAGTTGGATTGAATTCTTCTCCTTTCTCTCCTGCTTCCAAAAACCATCCCTGTTGGTGGGAGTGTACAATTTTAGAAAAAAGGGTAATTGTGCACTTCTTGGTCCCCACAGAAAATTGATGCAAAATAATCGAAAGGGGTTTCAAACGACGGCTATTATTGCCAGCATTAAGGGCCGGTTGTTCAATGTCTGATTAGCACAAATCAGAGGTAGAAGCTCCGGTTAAATACAAGGACTGCTTTATCGATCACATGTTAAATGCATGATGTCGAAGACGTCGATAATGATGTTTAACCGGCAAGTAGTGATAACCAGACATTGAACAACCGGCCCTAAGAATCCGAAGGCGGAAACTGATCTTTTTAAACCGCCCAAAAGTTATTTGCAAAAAACCGTTTCATTCAGCTCAACTTTGTCAGTACTAGATTCACGTTAATAAATACATTAGTGGTATTCATCTAAACCGATAACTTTATCAAGCAGATAATCTTATAAGTTTACGCACTTTGTTACATGAACGACCCACACTCTCTTTTCGTTTACACATGCGACAATAGTCGTGTTTTCTTTGCTTATAGAGCTCAGTATCACTAACGTTATACTACTAGCACGGGATTAAAGAAATTATAGAAACTACCTAACTAAATTGGAAAAAATTATATTTACGAGATATCTATTTAAATAAATG